AATTCAACTATCATGAATACTGAAAATCTTCCAATATTATAATCTATATTTTATTCAGTCAAACCCCGAATTACATGGGGAATACGTTCCTGAAAAACACTGTGTAACTTGAAACCATGTAACTAGAGGCATTAATTCTATAGGAAAATAAGGGGATAGGGACCTGGAACAAGATTTAATAACCTTATTTCATAACAAATGGATATTTAAACACAAAATAATGGAATTAATAGCCTTATTAAAACCTTTACTTGCAAGTTAAAACTTGATGAAATTACAAGGAGAAAACTTTTGCAAAGATAAGGTTAAAGAAGGAGAGTTAAGGTTATGTAAACACATCTAGAGAAAAGATGAGGGATGAAAAGAAAGGGGATAAATTAAGGGAATGGTTGATGGAGTTTAGTAATTATTTAAAAGTAAATCTTTTGTTTAAACCACAAAGAGACTTAGTGTTAAGTTGGAGGATAAGATGGCATTCAAGACTTTCTCATTTTAATTTATTGAATGGTGCATTTCTCATGACTGAGACTAACATAACATGTTTTTTTTGGGGTTTTTTTTCTAGCATAATTCCATTGTAGCACATTCTACATTGCCTGATGAAGAGCATCTGATTGAAACAATGCATTAATAAACTAAAATAGTTTTCAGTTAAACGTGTCAATTTATTCTTTATTTTCCTTTATCCAAGTTTTTCTTATCCCATCTTGTGGAATAATACTCTAAATGAACAACTGCTCTACTGCATAAATGTGAGAAATGAAACTTTAGTCATGTTATATGAAGCATGTATACATGAATCAGTATAACTCAAACTTGTTTAACTGAGGGTCCAACTGTATATATAATATCATTTTTGTGAAACTGTCATTAGTATATTATCAGTATTATTTATTACTACAATTTTTGTCATTATTTTTAATTATTATCACATCATTACTATTATTATTATTGTTGTAGCTCATCATTATTCAAATTTTTGGACTGCCAGGTATCCAGCCAGTATTTGATAGGAAAGCCTGATAAGAAGGGCTGGTTTTGAGGTCATTAGTGTTTAGTTTGATCTAGTCGATGGGCAGGCTAGATGGACCAGAATGTCCTTTCTTGTTCTTTAATGTTATGTTAGTTTGCCAAAAAGTTTCTTTAAAGTCATCAACCCAGGAAAACACCTAAACAACCTCCACACTGCTGATTCCATAAATTCTCACCTTTCTATCACATCTGGAGAACTTGATACCCATAATTCCTTCAACCATGCTCAACACTGATACTGATGGTTATACCAATGTTTCTAGGCTATCTGCAAGGTCACTGTGACAACAGCCCAAACATGCTACTTGCAAAGTGACATTCTGATAAATGATGCTTGTAGGATTACTTCATATTACCATCACAATCAATATCTTGAAAAATAAGTTAGAAGAAAGAATCTGATTGAAGTGTTTAAAATTATCAAGGAAATACATTGTATCAATGTATTTTCGTCTTTAATAATGGTAAGAATAGTAAAACAATGGGACATAAGTACAAATTTTGGCAAAGTAAGACTCACTAAGAGGTTACATTTTTGGTTTTACTTTCTTACTTAGTCTCTAACAGTAACACTAATATTAAGGGTCGTTCGGGTATAGGTTCCCTTCAAATGTGGTGGATACAGTATACTTAAAAGAAGGCTTAAAAAATATCGAAATGACAGACAACTACCCATCCATAAGACGGGTAAACGGACCACTGGCTAATAGAAAAGCCTATTGGGTGTGACTCGCGTTGGCTTCTATATCAAATAAGAAGCCAAGTTAAAGTTTTTGCCTACAGCCTAGCCTCAATTACAGTTACACATACAAAACAATCACTTGAAAATATACACATATGCAATTGCGAATCTACTTAATTTTACATCAAACAGAGGAAATAAACATCCCGAAAAATGTTTTAAGTATCTTAAACACATGAAATACAATATAACCAATAAATTTATAAAACAGTTTGATATTATTCACTTACGTACTATCCTTCATGAAATAAATCATAGATGGCGTTATACACAAAAACAAATCATACAAAGGAAAAAGAATATTATAGAATTAAGGAAAAACAAGACAATTGTACGTTTCATAAATACATCATTTATTACGACCATGGTTTCGCCAGTAAAACCATTGTGCTC